TCCGCATGTCTGTCTGTCTGTCTGTCTGTCTGGGCCTGGCCCGTGGTGCCGAAGGGGACAGCTCCTCCCGGGACAGGGCAGGGAAAGCCACGGCCCCTCTCCCCTGACCCCCAAACCCTCCGAGCATTTCCCGACCCCTCCCCACCTTCCCCGCCGGCGGCCCACGGCCCCCATGCCCTGCGCTGCCCTTGGTCTCTCCGCTGGGCACCTGTCTGTGGGGGGGTCGGGGGGGTCTCTGCCCCGTCGGGAGCTGGCCAGGCCCCCTGCCCCATTCCCTGGTGCTGCTGTGGGGTGGGGGTGGGGGTCTGTCTGGAAGCCACGGTCTTTGGGACACATTTAACCCTTCACGGCTTGAGGTGGGGGAGACACAGGGGCCTGGGGGCCCCGGTGATTTAACCTCTTGTGGGGAGAGCCCCTGGCACCAGCCCCCTCCCCCCCCCGGCTGCTCCCTCCTCGCCGCGTCCCTGGGCTGCAGCCACAGCTAAATGCGCCATCAGGATCTCGCCCCCCCGGCAGAGATGGCATGGAGCAGCTCCCGCCCCCCAAGGGGACAGCCTCCCATAGCCCCCCCAGCCTCCCCCCACGGGGCCAGCCCCCCAAGCCCCTTAGGGGCCAGCCCCTCCACCACGCCCAGGTCCCCAACAAGTCAGCCCCCCAAACACATGAAGACTCCTCCTGCTCCCAGGAAAACCTCAGCCCCGTGCAGGAGGCTCCCTGCCATCCCCTTCACCGCCCCCCGAGCCTCACCATCTGAGGAGCGGACCCCACACTTCTGCCCCTCCCCCAAGAGGGGCCCTAGGGTGTGGGGACTCCACCCGGAAGCCCCATGGATGAGTTGAGTTTGCCAGGTCTCAGACCAGGGCCCAGCCAGGCTGCCCCCCCCCCCGCCCTCCCCACCCAGGGAGGCTGAGAGCTGAATGACTCCAGGGGAGTGGCACCCCTGAGGGGAGGGGGCTGCCAGCTGTGGGGGGAGGGGTCCATGGGGCCAGAGGAGGCACATTGGGGATGACAGAGGGGGTGGGAGATGGAATGGGGGAGGCTTCTCGAAGGGAGGAGGGGCTGTGGGAGGGTGTGACGCAGCAGGGAGGGGGGCAGACTGACCTGGGGATGTCTGCATTGGGGTGGGGAGACTTTCCTTGAGGGACGATACCTGAGCCTGTAACCGGAGCCCAGGAGGGGGTTGGGGCCAGGTGACACCTTTGCCCGGGACACAGGACACTGGAGGAGGAACCGGGGGAGGCGGTGTGAGACGGCGGGGGGTGGGGGGGTTGAGTTTGGAGCTGGCTGGGGAAACGGAGGGATCCCCAGGGCTGGGGTCTAAGCTCCCTGCCCCCCAGAAGGACTTCACTGAGGGGTCCTGGTTGTACCCACAAGCTCTGTTTGGGACTGTGTTCCTGTTGTCCAATAAACCTACTGTTTTACTGGCTGCGGAGAGTCCTGGTGAATCCCAGGAACTGGGGAGCAGGGCCTGGACTCCCCCACTCTCTGTGACAACTGGTGGCAGCGGTGGGATGTACTGCACCCCGTGGATGGCGCTTCCTGCAGTAAGTGAGTGGGGAGCAGTAAAACGAAGGGGGATTGACAGGGACCAGGCATGCTGAAGGCTCAGAGAGGAGCAGTTTCGGGGGGCGGAGGAGCCACGCTTAACCCCTGGGAGTGTGTGACCAGCGAGGACTGTTACAGTAACGGGGTCCCCCTGAGGACTGCGGTGAGCGGGCCCAGGGGCGGAGAAGCCTGTGGCTCGACCCTGGGAGAGACGTGGTGACCTGGAGAGGGGCTGGCACTAGGGGTTCCTCCTGGACACGGGGGGAAGCTGCGAGCACAGGCCTGCGAGTGGCCAGTGGGAAGATGAACCATAAGCACCTTAAGAGCGACCCGGTGGAGCTGTGCAGGCAGAGGGGAGCTGCATCCGTCCCGACAGCTGTTTTCCAACCAGCCTGGACGCACTAATCTGACTGTCCACCGGGTGCAGACAGGGTCGCACCCACCGATAAGATGCTCCCCCTTCCGAGTCACAGGGAAAACTGCTCAGGACCTGGAAAGAGAGGTCCGGGACATGCTGGCTTTGGGGGTGATCCAGCCATCTGCCAGCCCTTGGGCCTCACCGGTGGTGCTGGTCCCCAAAAAGGACGGGTCGGTCCGGTTCTGTGTGGACTATCGGAAGCTCAATGCCATCACTGTATCTGATGCCTACCCCATGCCCAGGCCGGACGAGCTCCTAGGCAAGCTGGGAGGAGCTCGGTACCTCACCACCATGGACCTTACAAAGGGCTACTGGCAAGTGCCGCTGGATGCAGAGGCCCGGCTGAAATCGGCCTTTATCACCCCTCTGGGGCTCTATGAGTTCCTGACCCTGCCTTTCGGCCTCAAGGGAGCGCCGGCCACCTTCCAGCGCCTGGTGGACCAGCTCCTGAGGGGGATGGAGAGTTTTGCCATGGCGTATATTGATGACATCTGTGTCTTTAGCCAGACCTGAGAGGACCACGTGTCCCAGGTTAGACAAGTGCTGGACCGACTCCAAGGCGCTGGTGTGACGAAGTGGGACTGTTCTTAATGTTTCCTCTGAATAGTGTGGGGGTGCCTCAGTTTCCCCTAGGCAGTTCTTAAGTATCTAGGGGGTGGGGTAAGGGTGTATGATCATTGCAGAGCCCTAGAGGGCAGGTGTGTGCAGGAGTCTGGACACAGAGAATGGCCGACACCCTGTTTCCTGGCCACTGATGGCCTGGGCCCTTCCCCCCTGCAAGGTGAGAGCTAAAGGGTTGGAGAACAAAGGAATCAGGTGACCACCTGGCCCGGGAAAGGAACAAAGCCCAGAGGAGGAGGGGCTGGAGGGGGTTTTCAGTTTGGGGCTGGCTGGGACATGGAGTGAAGTGCAGACGTGGTTGTCTGGCTCACTGCCCCCCAGAATGGACCCAGCTGAGCGGTCCTGTTCTCTGCACCTGCAAGCTCTGTGTTAGACCATGTTCCTGTCGTCTAATAAACCTTCTGTTTTACTGGCTGGCTGAGAGTCACGTCTGACTGCGAAGTTGGGGTGCAGGACCCTCTGGCTTCCCCAGGAGCCCCGCCTGAGCGGACTCGCTGGGGGAAGCGCACGGAGGGGCAGAGGATGCTGAATGCTCCGAGGTCAGACCCAGGAAGGTGGAAGCTGAGTGAGCTGTGTGTCCTGAAGACAGGCTGCTCACAGAAATGCGACTGCCCCAGAGTCCTGACTGACTTCATGGGGAGCAGTTCCAGAGCATCGCCCAGGGACTCCGTGACAGCTGGGCTGACTGTAAAAGCGGAGAAGTGCAAGGTGGGGATGGCGGAAGTATCTTACCTGGGCCATCGAGTGGGGAGTGGCTGCCTAAAGCCGGAATCAGCCAAGGTGGAGGTGATCAGAGACTGGCCCGCTCCCCACACCAAAAAGCAGGTCCAGGCCTTTATTGGGATGGCAGGATACTACCAAAGATTTGTGCCCCACTTTAGCGCCATAGCCACCCCCATCACTGAGCTATGCAAGAAGGGGAAGCCAGACAAGGTGGTCTGGACTGAGCAGTGCCAGGAGGCTTTCTGGGCGCTGAAGGAGGCTCTGGTCAGTGGCCCAGTTCTGGCGAACCCAGACTTTGACAAGCCCTTTGTGGTGTTCACCGACGCCTCAGACACGGGACTGGGGGCTGTGTTAATGCAGGAGGATGAAAAGGGGGAGAGACACCCCATCGTGTACCTGAGCAAGAAGTTGCTACCCCGGGAGCAACACTACGCGGCCATCGAGAAGGAGTGCCTGGCCATGGTGTGAGCCCTCAAGAAACTAGAGCCCTATCTCTTCGGGCGGCACTTCACCGTCTACACCGACCCTCTCCCCTGACCTGGCTGCACCAGATGAAAGGAGCCAACGCCAAGCTCCTGAGATGGAGCCTGCTCCTGCAGGATTACGACATGGACGTGGTCCACGTGAAGGGAAAGGCCAACCTGATAGCGGATGCGCTGTCCCGGAGAGGGGGCCCCGAACTTCCCCAGGTCACTGGTCTCAGTGACCCCGCTCAGTTCGCTCTCGAAGGGGGGAGAGATGGGACGCAGCAGGGAGCGGGGTGGACTGACCGGGGACTGTGGCAGGCGAGTTTTACAGGGACTGTCTGCGTTGGGGAGGGGAGACTTTCCTTGTAGCCTGAGCCCAGGAGGGGGTTGGGGCCAAGTGACACCTTCTGCCCGGGACACTGGACAAAGGCTGGAGGAGGAACCAGGGGGAGGGGGTGTGAGATGGTGGGAGGGGGTTTGAGTTTGGAGCTGGCTGGGGAAACGGAGGGAACCCCAGGACTGGGGTCCAAGCTCCCTGCCCCCCAGAAGGACTTGACTGCTGGGTCCTGGTTGTATCTACAAGCTGTTTGGGACTGTTCCTGTCGTCCAATAAACCTTCTGTTCTAGTGGCTGGGGGAGAGTCCTGGGGAATCGCAGGAAGTGGGGGGGGGCAGGGTCCTGACTCCCCCACACTCCGTGACAGAGGGATGCGACCTGCTCTGGGGAGGGCAGAGTCAGCATCCCACTCCCCCCAGTTCACCCCTTTGTTGGGCTGTGGGTTGGGAGGGAGGGGCACCAGCAGAGCGGGGGTGGGTGGGGGCTGCGGGTCGGGAGTGAGGGGCACGGCGGGGGAGGGGGGGATTAGGGGGCTTCCCTGGAATAGCTTCAATTTCTGTCTGGCATCCCCAGGCTGACGTCATGTCTGGTTTCCCTGGCAGCCATTGACTGACAGCTGGACGTAGACCAATGCCCGGTTCTCTTCCCCGGGAGGCTGGAACTTCCCAGCCCTTCTGTGTGTGTGTGGGGGGGGGGGTCTCCCGTGTCTGTCTGGGCTTAACAAGGCCCCAGTACCCCCAGCTGGACCTGCCCCGGGAGCAGGGTGGAGACTGGGGGCAGGACTCCTGGGTTCTCTCCCCAGGTCTGGGAGGGGGGTGGGGTCTAGTGGTTAGAGCGGGAGGGGGGGGGGGCTGGGAGCCAGGACTCCTGGGTTCTTTCTCCAACCTGCCCTAGATGGAGGGTGGGGGGGATCCCAGGGAGTCGCTGCAGAGGGAGGCCGGGCTGAGATGAGCACGTGAGTGGGATTCATCTCCTGGCAACGGGACCCTGCGTGGGAGGGGAAACTCCCGGAGCGGGGGGGTCCCCTGGGGGGGCGGGTTATTTCTGGTGAGAAGAATCTTCTTCATTGAAAGGGCGGGGATGGGTTTTGGCATCAGTTTCTGCCAGCTATGCCGGTGCCCCTCACTCCCGACCCGCAGCCCCCTGCTAGGCTGGCCCAGCCCCCCCGGTCCCCCCGCCGGTGCCCCTCACTCCCGACCCGCACCCCTTGCTCCCCCCCCTCGTCCCCCCGTCCCCTCCTCCCACCCCAACCACTCCAGCCCACCCTCCCCCGCAGCTCTCGGTGCCCTCACTCCCGACCCGCAGCCCCTCTCCCACCCCCCTTCGTCCCCCACTCCCGACCCGCAACCACTGCCAGCCCAGCCCTGCCCCCGCAGCTCTGCCGGTGCCCCTCACTCCCGACCCGCAGCCCCCTGCTAGGCTGGCCCAGCCCCCCCCGGTCCCCCCGCCGGTGCCCCTCACTCTCGACCTGCAGCCCCTGCCAGCCCAGCCCTGCCCCCCCAGCTCTGCCGGTGCCCCTCACTCCCGACCCGCAGCCCCTGCTGGCCCAGCCCCCCCCCTTCGGTGCCCCCACTCCCGACCCGCACCCCTCTCCCACCCCCCCCCCCCACTCCCACCCGCAGCCCCTCTGCCCAGCCCCCCCACTTCGTCCCCCACTCCCGACCCGCAGCCCCTCTCCCACCCTCCCACCCCAGCCCTGCCGGTCCCCTCACTCCCGACCCGCAGCCCCTGCTGGCCCAGCCCCCCCCCTTCGGTGCCCCGCACTCCCGACCCGCAACCACTGCCAGCCCAGCCCTGCCCCCGCAGCTCTGCCGGTGCCCCTCACTCCCGACCCGCAGCCCCCTGCTAGGCTGGCCCAGCCCCCCCCGGCCCCCCCGCCGGTGCCCCTCACTCTCGACCTGCAGCCCCTGCCAGCCCAGCCCTGCCCACCCCAGCCCTGCCGGTGCCCCTCACTCCCGACCCGCAGCCCCTGCTGGCCCAGCCCCCCCCCCTTCGGTGCCCCGCACTCCCGACCCGCAGCCCCTGCTGGCCCAGCCCCCCCCCTTCGGTGCCCCGCACTCCCGACCCGCAGCCCCTGCTGGCCCAGCCCCCCCACTTCGGTGCCCCGCACTCCCGACCCGCAGCCCCTGCTGGCCCAGCCCTGCCCACCCCAGCCCTGCCGGTGCCCCTCACTCCCGACCCGCAGCCCCTGCTGGCCCAGCCCCCCCCTTCGGTGCCCCGCACTCCCGACCCGCAGCCACTGCCAGCCCAGCCCTGCCCACCCCAGCCCTGCCGGTGCCCCTCACTCCCGACCCGCAGCCCCTGCTGGCCCAGCCCCCCCCCCTTCGGTGCCCCGCACTCCCGACCCGCAGCCCCTGCTGGCCCAGCCCCCCCCCCCCTTCGGTGCCCCGCACTCCCGACCCGCAGCCCCTGCTGGCCCAGCCCCCCCACTTCGGTGCCCCGCACTCCCGACCCGCAGCCCCTGCCAGCCCCCCAGCCCTGCCGGTGCCCCTCACTCCCGACCCGCAGCCCCTGCCAGCCCAGCCCCCCCCCTTCGGTGCCCCGCACTCCCGACCCGCAGCCCCTGCTGGCCCAGCCCCCCCCCCTTCGGTGCCCCTCACTCCCGACCCGCAGCCCCTGCCAGCCCATGCTGGTTTATCCGTGGGAGAGAACAGGGATTCAGGGACACTGGGACTCTCAGGGTCACCCCCCCCCCCCCCCGCCGCGAGCTCCTCACCCGCCCCCTGCAGCTGCTGCAGCCGGCACAACCCCCGCCCCCCGCCCCCCCAAGGAGTCTCCGGTTACACCGAGGCCTGTCCTGGCGCCTGGGATTTTCCATTCGCGGCCGCAGGCCCCACGCCGGGGGGGTGGCAGGGACCGGGGGGGGGACAGGGGCGGGAGGTGATCTATCTCTGCCGCTGAGCCCTGCAGGGAGAGGGGCAGCTCTGGCAGATCCCCCCAGTGCCCCCCGGGGGTAACTGATGAGGAACACGGTGTGGGGGTGATGTGGGGGGGCACTCGGCTCCCCCCCGCGACAATGGCGGCCCTGCGCCTGCTGGAAACGGGCTGAGAACCTACAACCTCCGCGAGCATATGGGGCCCAAAGCCCAGGTCAGCCAGCCCCCCACCCCGGCCGGGTGGGAGCCGGCGCCCCCCAGAGGGAACAGGCCCCATGCCCCATTCCCTGCCCCCCTGAGCCAGCCAGTCCCCCGCCCCCCACGCCCCGTCGCCGTCTCTGTCCCGGTTCTTCTCACCGTGAATTAGGTTCTCATGGAAATGAAACAGCCTCGCCTGAGAGCAGGAAATACTGGGTGTCCCCCCCCCCAGTCTGCCCCCCTCACTCCCGACCCGCAGCCCCCCGCTCCCCCCAGCCCTGGGCTCCCCCCTCCCCCCAGCTCCGCCGGTGCCCCTCACTCCCGACCCGCAGCCCCCCCAGTCTGCCGGTGCCCCTCACTCCCGACCCGCAGCCCCCCGCTCCCCCAGCCCTGCCTCCCCAGCTCCGCCGGTGCCCTCACTCCCGACCCGCAGCCCCCCGCTCCCCCAGCCCTGCCCCCCCAGATCTGCCGGTGCCCCTCACTCCCGACCCGCAGCCCCCCGCTCCCCCAGCCCTGCCCCCCCAGATCTGCCGGTGCCCCTCACTCCCGACCCGCAGCCCCCCGCTCCCCCAGCCCTGCCCCCCCAGGTCCGCCGCTGCCCCTCACTCCCGACCCGCAGTCCCCCGCTCCCCCAGCCCTGCCCCCCCAGCTCCGCCGGTGCCCCTCACTCCCGACCCGCAGCCCCCCGCTCCCCCAGCCCTGCCCCCCCAGATCTGCCGGTGCCCCTCACTCCCGACCCGCAGCCCCCCGCTCCCCCAGCCCTGCCCCCCCAGCTCTGCCGGTGCCCCTCACTCCGGACCCGCAGCCCCCTGCTCTCCCGCCCGGGGCTCTGCAGGGCTGGGGCTGGAAAGGCTCCGTGGGACGGGGCAGGTTCTGCGGCTCTTCTGGGGGAACCGGGAGCCTGAGGCAGGTCAAGGGGGTGTCCCGTGTCCACACTGGGGCTCAGCTCCTCGGGGAAAGTGAGGCATTGAACTCTGCCAGGACACCTGGGTTCTCTCCCCGGACCTTGGAGGGGAGGGGGGTCTGGTGGCTGCAGGGGGGCCTGGGAGCCAGGGGGTTGGTTTCCTCTCCGCTCTGGGGGGGGCTCAGCTGGTGGGAGCAGGGAGCCACCTGGTGGCCATGATAGAGCATCACAGCTTCCGGCGCTGGGTCCTCTGTGCCCCCCCCCGCACTCTGATGGGTCACTCCACTCCCACCTCTCACCCCCCATCCCCCCTCAGATGGGTCAGTCCACTCCCACCTCTCACCCCCCATCCCCCCTCAGATGGGTCAGTCCACTCCCACCTCTCACCCCCCATCCCCCCTCAGATGGGTCAGTTCACTCCCACCTCTCACCCCCCATCCCCCCTCAGATGGGTCATAGAATCATAGAATCATAGAATATCAGGGTTGGAAGGGACCCCTGAAGGTCATCTAGTCCAACCCCCTGCTCGAAGCAGGACCAATTCCCAGTTAAATCATCCCAGCCAGGGCTTTGTCAAGCCTGACCTTAAAAACCTCTAAGGAAGGAGATTCCACCACCTCCCTAGGTAACGCATTCCAGTGTTTCACCACCCTCTTAGTGAAAAAGTTTTTCCTAATATCCAATCTAAACCTCCCCCCACTGCAACTTGAGACCATTACTCCTCGTCCTGTCCTCTGCTACCACTTGAGAACAGTCTAGAGCCATCCTCTTTGGAACCCCCTTTCAGGTAGTTGAAAGCAGCTATCAAATCCCCCCTCATTCTTCTCTTCTGCAGGCTAAACAATCCCAGCTCCCTCAGCCTCTCCTCATAACTCATGTGTTCCAGACCCCTAATCATTTTTGTTGCCCTTTGCTGGACTCTCTCCAATTTATCCACATCCTTCTTGAAGTGTGGGGCCCAAAACTGGACACAGTACTCCAGATGAGACCTCACCAATGTCGAATAGAGGGGAACGATCACGTCCCTCGATCTGCTCGCTATGCCCCTACTTATGCATCCCAAAATGCCATTGGCCTTCTTGGCAACAAGGGCACACTGCTGACTCATATCCAGCTTCTCGTCCACTGTCACCCCTAGGTCCTTTTCCGCAGAACTGCTGCCTAACCATTCGGTCCCTAGTCTGTAGCTGTGCATTGGGTTCTTCCGTCCTAAGTGCAGGACCCTGCACTTATCCTTATTGAACCTCATCAGATTTCTTTTGGCCCAATCCTCCAATTTGTCTAGGTCCTTCTGTATCCTATCCCTCCCCTCCAGCGTATCTACCACTCCTCCCAGTTTAGTATCATCCGCAAATTTGCTGAGAGTGCAATCCACACCATCCTCCAGATCATTTATGAAGATATTGAACAAAACCGGCCCCAGGACCGACCCTTGGGGCACTCCACTTGATACCGGCTGCCAACTAGACATGGAGCCATTGATAACTACCCGTTGAGCCCGACAATCTAGCCAGCTTTCTACCCACCTTGTAGTGCATTCATCCAGCCCATACTTCCTTAACTTGCTGACAAGAATACTGTGGGAGACCGTGTCAAAAGTTTTGCTAAAGTCAAGAAACAATACATCCACTGCTTTCCCTTCATCCACAGAACCAGTAATCTCATCATAGAAGGCGATTAGATTAGTCAGGCATGACCTTCCCTTGGTGAATCCATGCTGGCTGTTCCTGATCACTTTCCTCTCATGCAAGTGCTTCAGGATTGATTCTTTGAGGACCTGCTCCATGATTTTTCCAGGGACTGAAGTGAGGCTGACTGGCCTGTAGTTCCCAGGATCCTCCTTCTTCCCTTTTTTAAAGATTGGCACTACATTAGCCTTTTTCCAGTCATCCGGGACTTCCCCGGTTCGCCACGAGTTTTCAAAGATAATGGCCAATGGCTCTGCAATCACAGCCGCCAGTTCCTTCAGCACTCTCGGATGCAACTCGTCCGGCCCCATGGACTTGTGCACGTCCAGCTTTTCTAAATAGTCCCTAACCACCTCTTTCTCCACAGAGGGCTGGCCATCTCTTCCCCATTTTGTGATGCCCAGCGCAGCAGTCTGGGAGCTGACCTTGTTAGTGAAGACAGAGGCAAAAAAAGCATTGAGTACATTAGCTTTTTCCACATCCTCTGTCACTAGTTTGCCTCCCTCATTCAGTAAGGGGCCCACACTTTTCTTGGCTTGGGTCAGTCCACTCCCACCTCTCACCCCCCATCCCCCCTCAGATGGGTCAGTCCACTCCCACCTCTCACCCCCCCATCCCCCCTCAGATGGGTCAGTCCACTCCCACCTCTCACCCCCCATCCCCCCTCAGATGGGTCAGTTCACTCACCTTTCAATCCCCCCACAGGTGGGTCAATCCGGCCCCAGATCACCCTGCCCCCCCGTTTTGGGTTGGCCCAAGCACGTCATTTTATGCCATTAATTGCCTGGGGTAATTTGCATATTTGCATTTAATTTGCATATACGCAGCAGAGAGCTGCCACCTCTGGCTTTACAAATCCCCCATCGGCCAAGCTTGGCTGTTCCCATGGCAACAGCCCCAGCTCCGCCCCCCTGGGGGGGGCAGGTGCTGAGACTGGCAAACTCAGCCCAGGCCCCACCCCCTGGGAGCCAAGCTGGGGGGGACCAATGCCCCCAGCCAGCGAGTTCTGGAGCCAGGGAAGGGGGGGGTCAATACCCTCCCGCGAGGGGCCGGTTGGCTGGGCGGGAGGAGGCTTGATGCTCCCTGATCTCTGTCCCCTGCCTCCCCCAACCAGCCTGACCCCCCAAACCCCCCCACCCCCTGCCTGCAGCACGAGGCAAACCACAGCCGGCAGCCCAGGGCTGGGGGGCTGCAGGTCGGGAGTGAGGGGCACCGGCAGAGCCGGGGGCTGCGGGTCGGGAGTGAGGGGTGTGACAGAGCTGGGAGGATTGACCTGGGGATGGTGCGGGGGAGTTTTACCGGGACTGGCTGCGTTGGTACTGGACGTTGGTGGGATCTCAGGGGGGGCTTCACTGGAGGGACGATACCTGAGCCTGTCACCTGAGCCAGGAAGGGGATGGGGCCAGGTGACACCTTCTGCCTGGGAAGCTGGACAAAGGCTGGAGGGGGGGAGGCGGGTGGCTGGGTGAGACGGCTGGAGGCGGTTTCAGTTTGGAGCTGGCTGGAAAGACAGGAGGGAGGCCCAGAACCAGATCTGGCTCCCCACCCCCCAAGATGGACCTGACTGATGGGTCCTGATCTCTGTACCTACAAGCTCTGTTCCTGCATCTAATCAACCTTCTGTGTTACTGGCTGGCTGAGAGCCACAGTGAATCGCAGGAAGTGGGGGGTGCAGGGCCCTGACTTCCCCAAACTTTGTGACAAGGGGCACTGGTGAGAAGTGGCCTGTGGGTCGGGAGTGAGGGGCACTGGCAGAACTGGGGTGTGACCAAGTGAGAATGTTCTTAATGTTTTTCTCCAAATACTGTGTGGGTGCCTCAGTTTCCCCTATGCCTTTCTTAACTATCTAGGTGGTGGGATAATGGGGTGTGATTGTTGCAGAGCCCCAGGATGACAACTGGTGGCAGCAGTGGGATGTACTGCACCCTGTGGACAGAGCATCCTGCAGTAAGTGACGGGGGAGCAGTAAAACGAACCGGGATTGACGAGGACCAGATGTGCTGAAGGCTCAGAGAGGAGCGGTTTCGGGGGGCGAAGGAGCCACGCTTAACCTCCGGGAGCGTGTGACCATGAGAAGGACTCTTGTAGGAACGGGATCCCCCTCAGGACTGCAGCGAGCGGTCCCAGGGGCGGAGGAGTCTGCAGCTCGACCCTGGCAAAGAGGTGGTGACCTCGAGAAGGGCTGGCACACAAGGGGTTCTCCCTGGAAACCGTGGGGAGCTGAGAGCACACAGGCCTGCAAGTCCACAACACCTGGGAAGAGCGGAGTGAGGGCCTGTCACCGTCTCCTTAAGCAGGACCTGGTGGAGCTGTGCAGGCAGACGGGGCTGCACCGTGGAAGATTCACCAAGGCGCAGCTGATTGCCCGCTTGAAAGAGGAGAATCACTCTAAAGAGCCAGTTCCTGACCCAGCTGGGGCCCCGAGAGAGGCTGGGAACCAGGCGGCCCCAGGGCTCACCTGAACCACTGACCCAACTGGGGATGCAGGAGGGGCTGAAAGCAGCCAGGCAGCCCCAGGACCCACCTACCTGACCAGCAGGGGATCTTCATGGCCAAGTTCCCCATTGGTGGAGCTGAGACAGTTGGAGTTGGAAATGGAACTGACAGAGCTGGAGGACCGGGAGGAGGACCGGAAGGAGGAACGGGAGGACCGTGAGAAGGACCGGGAGGAGGAACGGCAGGACCGGGAGAAGGACCAGGAGGAGGAATGGCAGGACCCGGAGAAGGACCGGGAGGAGGAACGGGAGGACCGTGAGAAGGACCGGGAGGAGGAACGGCAGGACTGGGAGAAGGACCGGGAGGAGGAATGGCAGGACCCGGAGAAGGACCGGGAGGAGGAACGGCAGCACCGGGAGGAGGAACGGCAAGACCGGGAGAAGGATCGGGAGGAGGAATGGCAGGACCGGGAGAAGGATCGGGAGGAGGAATGGCAGGACCGGGAGGAGAAACGGCAGGACCGGGAGGAGGAACGGCACGACCGGGAGAAGGACCGGGAGGAGAAACAGCAGGACCCGGAGAAGGACCGGGAGGAGGAACGGCAGGACCCGGAGAAGGACCGGGAGGAGGAACGGCAGGACCGGGAGAAGGACCGGGAGGAGGAACGGCAGGACCGGGAGAAGGACCGGGAGGAGGAACGGCAGGACCGGGAGAAGGACCGGGAGGAGGAACAGCAGGACCGGGAGAAGGACCGGGAGGAGGAACGGCAGGACCCGGAGAAGGACCGGGAGGAGGAACGGCAGGACCCGGAGAAGGACCGGGAGGAGGAACGGCAGGACCGGGAGAAGGATCGGGAGGAGGAACGGCAGGACCCGGAGAAGGACCGGGAGGAGGAACGGCAGGACCGGGAGGAGGAACGGCACGACCGGGAGAAGGACCGGGAGGAGGAACGGCAGGACCAGGAGAAGGACCGGGAGAAGGACCGGGAGGAGGAACGGGAGGACCCGGAGAAGGACCGGGAGGAGGAACGGCAGGACCAGGAGAAGGACCGGGAGAAGGACCGGGAGGAGGAGGAGGGAGGACCCGGAGAAGGACCGGGAGGAGGAACGGCAGGACCAGGAGAAGGACCGGGAGGAGAAACGGCAGGACCGGGAGGAGGAACGGCACGACCGGGAGAAGGACCGGGAGGAGAAACAGCAGGACCCGGAGAAGGACCGGGAGGAGGAACGGCAGGACCCGGAGAAGGACCGGGAGGAGGAACAGCAGGACCGGGAGAAGGACCGGGAGGAGGAACAGCAGGACCGGGAGAAGGACCGGGAGGAGGAACGGCAGGACCGGGAGAAGGACCGGGAGGAGGAACAGCAGGACCGGGAGGAGGAACGGCAGGACCCGGAGAAGGACCGGGAGGAGGAACGGCAGGACCGGGAGAAGGATCGGGAGGAGGAACGGCAGGACCCGGAGAAGGACCCGGGAGGAGGAACGGCAGGACCGGGAGGAGGAACGGCACGACCGGGAGAAGGACCGGGAGGAGGAACGGCAGGACCAGGAGAAGGACCGGGAGAAGGACCGGGAGGAGGAACGGGAGGACCCGGAGAAGGACCGGGAGGAGGAACGGCAGGACCAGGAGAAGGACCGGGAGAAGGACCGGGAGGAACGGGAGGACCCGGAGAAGGACCGGGAGGAGGAACGGCAGGACCAGGAGAAGGACCGGGAGGAGGAACGGCAGGACCGGGAGAAGGACCGGGAGGAGGAATGGCAGGACCGGGAGAAGGACCGGGAGGAGGAACGGCAGGACCGGGAGAAGGACCGGGAGGAGGAACGGCAGGACCTGAGAGACAGAGGCAGCATGAACTGGCGATGGCGGAGCAGAAATACCTCTGCCGTGGTGCGTGGGGATGGGCCCAGGGGAGCTAAGCCCGCAGGGAACCCCAATACCAAAGTGGTGCCTCGGTTTAAGGAAGGGGATGACATCGGCGCCTCCCTCACTGCCTTTGAGGAGGCCGCAATGTGCCCAGTCGACCTGCAGACCAGCTTTGGCGTCTCGCCCCCTTCCTGGGACCCACAGCCCTAGAGAGGCACCTGAGCTGACCGACCGGCCCCCGGAGACCAACGGGACCTGAGGTGTAATTACTGTGGGCAGAGGGGCCACAGATGGTCCCGGGGACAAGAGGAGCAAACCGAGCCCTCACAGGGTTACCTGGGTGGGAGCCCAGCTGGAGGAGGGGCTGGAAGTTTAGCCATGGCTCAAGAGCGAGGAGTCTCCCAGGCCAGCTCCTTGGGGAGGCTTGAAACTTGGGATTCAAAGTTCTCAGTCGACAGGGGGGCGCGGGGCGGCCCCTGCGGAGCGAGTGCCTTGCTCCCCTGGAGGTGGATGGGAAGCAGGTTACTGGGCACTGGGACACAGGCACTGAGGTGACGCTGGTCCGGCCCGAGGTGGTGGCCAACCCCTACCTGACCCTGACGGGCATGAGCAGGCCCCTGTTTAAGGTACCCATGGCAAGCGTACATCTGAAATGGGGGGGGCCAAGGAGGGCCCCAAAGATGAGGGGGTGCACCAACAGCTGCCAACCGCGGTGCTGATGGGGGGTGACCTGGCGGATTCGCCGGGCAGCCCCCAAAGTTCCCTAGTCATCACCAGAAGCCAGGGCCAGCAAAGGGCACTCTGCCCGATGTGAGGATGTGACTCAGCAGGGAGGGGGAGTGTTGACCTGGGAATGTGCCCTGGGGATGGGAGACCTGAGAGCCTGTCACCTGAGCCAGGAGGGGGAGGGGGAGGTAACACCTCTGCCCAGGAATGTGGACGGAGACTGGAGCAGGGAACCTGCTGGGTGGGTTTAGGTTTCAGTTTGGGGCTGGGTGGAGGAACACAGGGAACCCCAGGGCTGGGGTCTAAGCTCCCTGCTCCCCCAGAAGGACGTGATTGAGGGGTCCTGGTTGTACCCACAAGCTCTGTTGGGGACTGTGTTCCTGTTGTCCAATAAACCTTCTGTTTTACTGGCTGGCTGAGAGTCTCAGTGGATCCCAGGAAGAGGGGTGCAGGGCCTGGACTCCCCCACACTCCGCGACACTCCCCCACTGCAACTTGAGACCATTTCTCCTTGTCCTGTCCTCTTCCACCACTGAGAATAGTCTAGAACCATCCTCTCTGGAACCCTCTTTCAGGTAGTTGAAAGCAGCTATCAAATCCCCCCTCATTCTTCTCTTCCGCAGACTAAACAATCCCAGCTCCCTCAGCCTCTCCTCATAAGTCATGTGTTCCAGACCCCTAATCATTTTTGTTGCCCTTCGCTGGACTCTCTCCAATTTATCCACATCCTTCTTGAAGTGTGGGGCCCAAAACTGGACACAGTACTCCAGATGAGGCCTCACCAATGTCGAATAGAGGGGAACGATCACGTCCCTCGATCTGCTCGCTATGCCCCTACTTATACACCCCAAAATGCCATTGGCCTTCTTGGCAACAAGGGCACACTGCTGACTCATATCCAGCTTCTCGTCCACTGTCACCCCTAGGTCCTTTTCCGCAGAACTGCTGCCGAGCCATTCGGTCCCTAGTCTGTAGCTGTGCATTGGGTTCTTCCGTCCTAAGTGCAGGACCCTGCACTTATCCTTGTTGAACCTCATCAGATTTCTTTTGGCCCAATCCTCCAATTTGTCGAGGAAGTGTCGCCGCCGGCTGTCGTACCTGGCCCACGATGTCCCTCTCTCGGGACGCCAGGGGATCCAGGCCCCAGGCAGCACCGTGACTGGCCCGGAGTCTGGGATGCAGCCCGGGAGCACGGCAGGTCCTGTGACCCCGGCCAGACGGGGGGAAGCCGGGACAAGGGAAACGCGGCTTTGAGACCTTTCCAGAGGGGGGCCAAGGTCAAGATGGGGGCTCTTAACCATGAGAGCCTGAATTGCAGGCCTCCAGACTGGAGCACTGGGAGAAAACCCAATCCTAGTTTGACCCCCGGGGGTTTTGGGGTGGCCAAAGGGCACGGGCCGCATAAACCTTCCCACATGTGGCCTGCGAGTGCTATCGACCACCCCCGACCTAAGGGAGGGCGTGAAACTGGAAGGGCCTGGTGTAACTCCCACCAAGGAACGGGAGAGATGCTGGGGCATCCATGGGAACATTGGTGGGTTCGAACTTCCCCAGGTCACCGGCTAAAGTGACCCCGCTCAGTTTGGTCTCGAAGGGAGGAGTGATGTGACGAAGCGGGACTGTTCTTAATGTTTCCTCTGAATAGTGTGGGGGTGCCTCAGTTTCCCCTGGGCAGTTCTTAAGTATCTAGGGGGTGCGATAAGGGTGTATGATCATTGCAGAGCCCTAGAGGGCAGGTGTGTGCAGGGGTCTGGACACAGAGAATGGTCGACACCCTGTTTCCTGGCACCTGATGGCCTGGGCCCTTCCCCCCTGCCAGGTGAGAGCTAAAGGGCTGGAGAACAAAGGAATCAGGTGACCTCCTGGCCCGGAAAGGGACAAAGCCCAGAGGAGGAGGGGCTGGAGGGGGTTTTCAGTTTGGGGCTGGCTGGGACATGGAGTGAAGGGCAGATGGGGTTGTCTGGCTCACTGCCCCCCAAAATGGACCCAGCTGAGCGGTCCTGTTCTCTGCACCTACAAGCTCTGTGTTAGACCATGTTCCTGTCGTCTAATAAACCTTCTGTGTTACTGGCTGGCTGAGAGTCCCGTCTGACTGCGGAGTTGGGGGGCAGGACCCCCTGGCTTCCCCAAGACCCCGCCTGAGCAGACTGGCTGTGGGAAGCGCAGGGAGGGGCAGAGGAGGCTGAATGCTCCGAGGTCAGACCCAGGAAGGTGGAGCCGGGGGAGCTGTGTGTCCTGCAGACAGGCTGCTCCCAGAGAGGAGACTCCCCCAGAGTCCTGCCTGGCTTTGTGGGGAGCAGTTCTAGAGCATCGCCCGGGGACGCAGTGACAAGGGGCACCAGTGAGGGGGGGGCTGTGGGTCGGCAGTGCGGGGCACCAGCGGAGCCAGGGGGCTGCAGGTCAGGAGTGCGGGGCACCGGTGGAACTGGGGGGGGCTGCGGGTCGGGAATGAGGGGCACCGGCTAACTAAGCAGTGCGGGCATCGCGGGTAAAAGTCTCACGTCGGTTTTATTCCCTCGGCCTCGCTCGGATTCTCCCGTTTTGGTTCAATAGAAATTTCTCCAAAAAGAAGGAAACAAAAGGAAAAGAAATGGAGCCGGGGGGGCCCGGGCCCCCTGCGTCCGTCCTGCTTGCTCCTCTGGCCAGGCCACGTCTCGTCCCTTCGCTGCGGGTGGCTCCGGGTCCCCCCACCCCCTCGCGGATCCGGGGGCCGGTTCCCCTCGTCCAGTTGCCCCAGTGCCGATGTCCCGACCCGGCCGCATTGAAACCCTGAGTTCATGGCCCCCCCTCTGCCCTGTGTGCCCCCCGCCCTGGTCCCCGCCTTCGAGCTCCGTCCTGGTCCATCGCTGGCGTGTTTCCAAGAGCACCTGACCCCACAGCCCCGGGGCCTCCCCTGCTTCCAGGCACATGGGGGATGCGTCCCCCCCGGGCACGGCAGGGGCCACAGGGGGTAGCACGGGGGGGCTGCGCCAGTTGTAGGGGGTGGAGGCACAAAGGGGGGTCAATCTCAGGTGGCACTGAGGGCTCTGCCCCCTGACCCCAGGGCACCCCTGTGTGGGGGACGCCCATTCCCAGTGGGGGTCCCATCTCCAGGGGAGCACTGTGGGAGGGTCTCGTCCCTGGGGGGTCCTGTCCCCAGGCCCCCCCGACCCCGGAGTCCTGGCATACGCACGGCGTACATGTCAAGAGGGGCGAAGGCCGCGGCAGGGGTCATTCCTGCTCAGTCGGGTCCCGGGGCCCCCCCCGTCGCGGGGTGCCCTCCTCGGGGGGCGGGGGCCGGCGGGGGGTGGGGGGGGCCCCCCGCAGAGTCTGGATGCGGCGGCACTCGTGGCAGATGCGGATGTGGGTGCAGGGCCGGGCGGGCTCCTCCAGGAGGCGCTGGGGGGCGGGTTCGGAGGCCAGGGGCCCCGCATAGAGCTTCCCGTTGCTGAGCCGCATCTCGCGGACGGCGCGAAGGGCCCGGGCTGCCCGGGCTGGGGGCCGCCGGCGCCGCCGGGACCGCGTGGGCTTCCGGCACGACACGGCCTGGCGCAGCTCCCGCAGCATCTCCTGGCACACCGAGCGCTGGGGGGAGAGCGGGGGGTCAGGGCGCCGGACGCCTGGGTTCCCGCCTCACCCCTCCCGCTGCCAGACACCCGGCTTCCTTCTTTGCTGACCCAGACCGGTCCCGGACACCTGGGTTCCTTCCCCACTTCCCTCCCATCTCAGCACTGGATGCCTGGGTTCTTTTGTCACCCCCCACCCCGCTACCAGCACCGGAGCCTGGGTTCCCTCCCCACCCCCAGAGCCCCAGCACCCCCCACCTCCTCGGTCTCCGCTGAGCGTCGCGTCGCCCAGACGAACTCCATGACAGCCACGAAGACGGCGACCACGAGTCCGCAGATGAGAACCACAAAAATGCCCCCGATGTTCTCCATGCCCAGGCCTGGGAGGAGAGACGGGGGGGTGAGGGGAAATCAGCCCCGTGGGTCACTCCCCTGCCCCCACCTCTGCCCCCCAGCCTGGTCCTGCAAGCGCCCCCCGGCCCCCTCACCTTTGGCCCGATGGTCCTGCTCCTTGGGGCACTTGCCCCCCTCCCACCACTTGCGCTTGAGGATCTCCAGCCGGTTGTTCTCCTGCAGCTGCAGAATGGCCAGCGTGATCTCGTCCCGGAACGGGGAGCCTGGGGGGGGCGAGGGGGGTCAGGACGCTGCTGCCCCCAGCCTGACCCCAGGGAATAGCCCAGGACTACCCAGCCCCCCATCTGCCATCCTGCCCCCCAGGACCCCCCAAGGGAACAGTCTCAGCCCACCCTGCCCCCTGCAACCTCCTGCCCCCCAGGACCCCCCTAGAGAACAGTCTGTGGCCCGCTCTGCCCCCTGCAACCCGCTGCCCCCACCCCCCTGCACCCTGGGACCCCCCAAGGGAACAGCCGGTTACTGACCCGTAGCAGGTCTCTGAGCTCTGCGGTCATGTCCCTTCCCAGGCGGGTCCGTGTGGGCACC